TTTTTAAATGCAAGTGGGATACCCGCACTCGGGGTACTAGATGTTGTTGTGTTTTACGCTCCGATACGTGTAACATCTTCCACAAAAAACTGTATATTGTGATTGTTGAGCAGTGCAAGTGTTTCCATATTTTTGTTGTGGATGCCTCTGATGATGGCTCTTTGTGAGCCGAAACATGTAAGGCAAATGTGAGGAAATGGTGACAAGAATATATATTGTTACACTCGACGGAGGTTCTATTGATAGTTGGCATAGAGAAATGCTTCCTCAGGTGTGCATGGTTGTTTCTGTTCCCCAGTACACAGTTACAGCAAGAACACGCACGTGTGTGCGCGCGCGCATACCGTAAATTTATATAGCCCATGCACACCTTATTGTCCATCCTTATCACCTCTGTTACAGAGTGCTTGAAGATGGAAAGAAAATTCTGTACAAACATGATGTAAATAGGAACATACCTGCTACTGTAGTAGATAATATTTCCTTCACATTGATTCACAGAACCTCTTTACAGTTTTACAAGGCACGCGATCAGAATGACCAAGTCATTACAGACACTCGCCCCTTCGCCCCTCTTGTCCTATCCCACATCTTAATCTGAGTAGACTTCACCTCAGAGCTGGGTTTGGCCTCTTCCCCGTGCTGAGACGGGGGGGGGAGATATTTTTAAAATACTTTCCTTATTTTGAAAAAATTATGAGATTTACAAGACTCTGTGTTCCCTCAGAAGAGACAGCTGTTGCAACACCATATGAACTTATATGTGATAAGTGACATGGTGCCTGGAAGCCAGATTAGTGCAGAGAAGTGCCGCAGAGATGGCCATTGCTGGGCAACGGTTCTATAATTACGTTGTGCATCCCTCCAGGTTTCTCCATGCCGTGACTGCTAACCATGATCCTGAATGGTCCTCTTATACAACTTCAGTTTCAACTACAGAGATGATTCGGCCCCTAACAGTCTTTCTCTCATCATTAGCCTGCCTTTCTGTGTGCATGTGCCCATGCCTATGGATCAAATATTACTTGTTATCACCACTGGTTCTCCAGACCATTTCAGAGACGTTTCATGCTGCATACCCCACACATGCCAGTTACATCCCCTCACCCCAGCTGTTTGTACTATTTTCAAAATCAGCACAAACATGTCTGTTGATTGCACTTTGTGCCAAGTTATTGTCCATCCTGTGAAACCACATGTTTAGGCCATACAGAATGGGTAAAGTGCTAATACTGTAACAAGACTGAAAGGCTGTTATGGATCACACAGAGCGACACATATTTAATGTGACTCAGGAAAGTTGAGTGAAGTTTGTTAAAATGGCCTACAGATTTTTCCACCCACAATACCTAAATTTTAATCTTTCAGAATTGATAAAGAAATTACTGAAATTCTGTCTTAAGAGTGCTCTTCTGTTTCAGAGGGCATACCAAAATATGAGGTTTTCCTGGGTGGGTCTTGCAATCCCACAACGTGGCGTCAGGATGTGGCTATTCCCATGCTGAAGAACTTAGGCATCACATACTATAATCCAGTAAGTACAACTTTTGTTCAGTAACCCCATGGAGCGCAGCCCTTGAGAAGCCACCGGTTTCTTTGCAAATAAATATCACACCTTTTATGAAAAATAATTCATTAATGTATTCACAAGAGTCTGTCAGTCTCTCTCCTCTTCTATTTTAGATGTATCTAGACCACACCATCCCACCAAACTGCCTAAGAACCTTTTTAATATTAGTCTCACATCTTTGCCTAGGTCTTGCAAGTGATCTTTTCCCTTCATATTTTCCAGCTATCAGTTTATGTACAATCCTCATTTTGCTTTGCTGTAGAAACTTTTCATGATTAATTGTTAGAAAAAAAAAAGATATAGCAGAGGTTCCAAACACTGCTATTAATTTTTAATTTGCTTAGTGGGGGGTGGAGTCCAACTGGCGCCAATCGGCACGGCGACCACTGATTGGCCTATTGTAGCCTGCCCCGGCTGACTATGATGATGGAGAATTTGGTGGAATGAAGATTGGCAGGGGAAACTGAAGTATTCGGAGAAAACTCGCCCCAGTCCCACTATGTCCACCACAAATCCCACTTGACAAGACCTGGGATTGAACCTGGGCCGCCATGGTGGGAAGCCAGCGACTAACCGCTTGAGCTATGGCACAGCCTTAAACACACTGCTATACCTTGCATCCCACCTTAGAGCCTTTCATAACTTCAATGCCTCCCTTCCAGAACAAGTGCAAACAGATTTGACATAAAATTTACCTGTGACTATCTTTTTTTTTATATAATTTACTGTATATTATTCAGTGGTTTAAATTAAAACACTGAAATAAAATATTCCCTTCATACCTGGATTAGCGGGGTGGATGTGTGTTCCCTGTTTGAATGTAACTTGTCATACTGAGGTTGGAGCTTTGAAATGACTGCTCTGGGGGCATTTCAAGGTGCATTGTAGAAGGACACTTTGTTCTGATGGCCCCTGCTGCTGCTGCTGATCCATTCTTACACAAGTAGGATGTTGTGAATGGAAGGAGGATATTCAAGGCTTTTTCCTCTGAGGCGAGGGAACTCTCGTCCAGTGCCCTCCCAAAATTCTATGTATGACTTCCTGGGAAACTGGTATTTTAAAGAGGAATCAGATATAATGTCAGTATAGTATTCTTCTTCAAGAGAAGAATCATAATTTTGGGACAAATCAGCATAGAATGGATCTGTGACCCATTTGTACAGGGTGGTGCGCAGAAATTTCCTTTTTGTGAAGACGCATTGTGAAGGGAGGGGAGGTCGCAGGAAAGTGGGGATAATCTCGGCAAACGCAGCAGTCTCGGAAGTTTCTGCCTAATACCCCTCAGTAGGAAACATGAGATGGACGAGTGAGCAGCGTGCATTTGCTGTCAAAGCCTATTTTTCGAACAACCATTCCTACGTGCCGGTGCATCGTACTCACTTCGGAATTAAGCCCAGAGATCCGGTTCCTGACTGGAAATCGGTTGTTTTGTGGGTAGAGAACTTTAGAACAACCGGGAGTGTGGTGAAAAAATCATCAGGACGACAACAGACTGTTATGATGCCAGAAAATGTGGAGGCAGTTCGACAGTCGATTTTGAGATCTCCAAGACACTCCGCTCGCAAACATGCAGTCACCCTAGACATATGCAATGGTTTAATGCACTGAATTCTTCCCAGAAATCTTCATTTCCATCCCTATAAGATAGTTGTTGTGCAAGAATTGTCACCACGTGATTTCCACAACCGAATAACGGTGTGCGAAACGCTATTGGAAACTTTACCCCCTGACACACTTGTTTTCCTTAGTGATGCACATTTTCACCTATCCGGATATGTCAACAAGCAGAATATGTGCCATCGGAGTGGTAACAAACAATCCCAGAGAGCTCCATGAGAGGCCACTTCACAGTGATAAGGTGACAGTATGGTGCGCGTTGTTGAGAGTTGGAGTTATTGGCCCTTATTTTTTTGAAGAAGACAATCGTGCAGTTACTGTCAATTCACAGCGGTATGTGGACATGATTAAAATCTCTTTCGAGCCAGCTCTTGAAGAAATGCATCTAGGAAATGTCTGGTTCCAACAGGATGGTGCCACGGCCCACACAGCCCGAGCTTCGATGACAGTTTTGAGGGCAAAGTTCCCCGGACAGCTCATCTCACTTCGAGGTGACATCCTGTGGGCAGCGCACTCACCTGATCTAACGCCCTATGATATTTTTTATGTGGTTACCTGAAGGCAGATGTTTTTAAACATTGCCCCACAAATTTGCTTCAGCTGAAGAATGTTATTCGGCAGGAAGTAGCCCAAATTCTGGTGCACATGTTGGACCGTGCAGAGGGAAACTTCAGAAAACGGTTGCATCAGTGCATAGAGAACAGTGGCCACCGCCTTCAAGATATTTTGTTTAAACCTACATGATTTATATCATTAAAGTATGTTCTTTCATTAGCTAAACATAAATTTTGTCTATCAGCAATAATTTTTCTTTTATTCGCCTTCAGAAAAAGGAAGTTTCTATGCCCCGCTCTGTATTTGTTAGTTACTGCTTACACTCAAGCATGGGAAGCGTATTATCGGCTGCCTCTCAATTTTGGCTTCTTCCATGCAAAATGGGGCCATGGTGGATAGTTGAAATTGCGATGTTTTATAAGCGTTATGATTGAGGAGGCCACTCGACATCACTGGCCGACATCCTCTAATACGAGACTGAGGTGTCGTGTGTGCTCTTTGCGTGGGAAATGAAGTTACATCTGGACAAAGTACATGAATTGCGATGTTGGACTCTGCATTCAGTTAGATGACGCAGGAGGGAAGACTGTATACTTATAAAGAGCGTGCCCAAAAATAATGTAAGTAGAACAAGAATTTCTATCTTAAAATTAGATTTTAAAACACTGTGAACATGCGTGGACTGCGCGTACCCATATGGTGTTGCACGGCCACTCGGCTATACTTTAAAGGTCTCCATACAGTGTCGCTAGGCTCAAGGTTATACCATTGCACTGCCTGCCATCAAGTGTCCATTTATAAAATGATATAAAATATGTGTTTATCATTGTTGAATAATAAAATTTATATATTAAAACTTGTTAAGATCTATCATCTTACATGTCATATATCAAACTCTTGTGTAACGCCATTCATCCGCTATGGGAGTCGTTCTTCTTATGTTTTAATTGTGTATATACTGTGTCTTATGATGTGTCTTTCGTATATGGCTGCATGTGTTGTATTGCTGGACATATGTGTGAGCTCTGTCTTCGTTTTGGTTGAGACCGCGCGCGCGCACACGCGCGTGCACACACACACACACACACACACAGAATGATGCCGAAACATGTAGTATGAAGTGACAAGTGAAATTTTATGCACTAAAAGACCGTAAATATATACACATTATGGATCCTAATTGTTTAATTAAGGCCCTCAGTCCTTCTCTATTTCCTGCCATTATGCAAGCTGAATTTGCATATTCTCCAACGCAATCTGACAATATTCTGCTTTCTTTTTTTTATGAAATCTTCAACAATTTTGGAGATTTCTTTCGCTGTTGCTCTCCTTTTTTATAGGTTTGCAGAAAAGAATGTCTTCATTCATTGTTGCACCTTAACATACTGCATGTCAGCTATGAAGTAACAGTATTGCTACTGTCAGTCACTTTTGTCATTCTGTGTTGAAAAACGTTTGTTTATCAACTTCTCATTCAGCTGCCGCTCTAAGTCTTGTGATACATCAACAGTCTGCTCTGAGACGATGTTATTTGATAGCGATATGTTATGAAGCTGCTAAACACATTTTTTGTACGTTATCTATCACAGCAGGGAGTATCACAGTTTCAGTGATGGTGTGCAGCTTCATCTTCTGTGCTGTTCTGTATGACACTTGATATGATGCTAGCAGGGCTTTGGATGAAACAGTAGTACTAGTAAATGTTAACAAAACTCTTTTGATGGATGTGAATTTCATTAAGTTTTCTGTGGAATTATTCTTTGGGCTTGTTTTTCATTTCTGAGTGTTTCATTTCAAGGTGTCACTTCAGTTTATTTGGCTTTGTTCTGTCAGCTGCCAAGATACTGAGAGACAACACACTGAGGTCGTTTTTCACCATTAACTATACCACTTGTTAAACCAAATGACAAAATTATGATTCATCATAATTACACAATTTTGGTTTTAATATACAACTCTGCAAATTGCTGTAGGTTCATCATCTGGTTTTCTTTTCACACCCTTCATAAATCTGTGCCATATTCTGTGGTTCAGAGGAGACCACTTATTAATGCTTTGTGTGTGGCTGTAACGATTACACGTAGTAAATGTTACGGGATGTATGTTCTACGTCTGTTCACTATGGAACTACAGTGTGCACATGTTAACACATTGTATTCTTTCACTAAAGTTTCTATGTCTCAACACACCAAAGTCTAGCATTGAGTAATATCTGCAATATATTTGGAGCCAGGATAGTGCAATCAGTACAGCAACTGGCTGCGGGCTGGACAGCCGATGGGTCAGAGGTTGAGTCCCAGTAAGGTCAAGAATTTTCTCTGCTACATGTCTTCCAGACAGGCTCTGGGGCCTGCCCCGCCTATCAAATGTGTACCAGGGGCTCATTCCCCGGGGTTAAAGTGGCCAATGTGTGAAGCTGACTGCTCACCTCCAGCTAGTACCAAGATCAAGAAAATGTGGATCTATATATCCACTCCCCCATACACCTTCGTGGCATAGTACTTAATTAGTTAAGCACAGGGACAACTTTACCATTTTTTTTACTAACTTACACTAACAGTGAATAAGATGACTTCACAAAGTTTGTGGCAACAGTTTATTGCTCGGACTCAGCTGCTATACCCTGGAGGGTGAAGAAACTTAGCAGTGGAAACAGTCAACTTGAGGGGTTGAGCAGCTTTCTCATACCCCTTAACAACAGTGGAGTGAGTTGGTTTAACAGTAAATATTCATGCATTCCTCACAGGGCTGGAAAGCTGAGGCCCCAACTGCACGTAGACTTACATTGTCCTTTACTTTGTAAAACTGCTGATGCTCCGCGAGTTTGAATTGTTTGGTATTGTATGACAACTAAACTACCTAACCAAGCAAAGGATTGTAAAAATGTTTTTACATATTTGGTTTAAAATAGTTATTCATACAAACAACACATCTCATGTTTGGTAACCACTGAGATATAATCATAATTGTACCAAGTAAGGTGCATAATATAAATCGAATATGGATATATGTGTGTGAAGTTTTAAATATGTGGAAAAAGTTTTGTTTTTGTCTTGCTTCTCTTCCATTTTCGTAAACTAGGGTGGTTTCTAATAGTGAAACCGTTGCAAGATTTCACTTACCATGTAGGTGGAACCTTCAGGTTCCATAAAATGGTGGGAAGTTCTAGAGTAGGTGCACAATTGGTGGCTTCTCAAGAAGGGCTCAGCCCCATGAGTGAGCAATAATCTCAATTTCTTGCCTATTGTAAGTCTTCCTTGATTTATTATTATTACACAGAACTGTGAATTATCCACAACAATCAGTGGCAAAAGTAGCACAGATAATTAAAAACATCAGGTAATCAAACAATTATGCAAATATTATCCATGCTGCTTGCAACCCAGAAAATTGCTTAACATTGTGTACTGGTCACAGAACAATGAGACTTTTTCCCAACAGATAACAGCAGCCCTAGCTCAGTGGTATGATGATAAAATATAAAGTTGCAGTAAGTTGAGGAAGTATACATTCCACTATAAAATGCTGTGAACCATCACTGATATATGTTGCTGAAACACGTGGTGGGCAACATCTAAAACATTATAGGAAACAATAGTCATCACCATACTAAGGGGGCCTTGAAGTCCTTTGGTTAGCGTAATAGCATGAAAGTGGGGCTGTATACACAAAATTGTTATGCTGTTTTACACACACAACGGGATGCATACCACAGTGATCCTTTGGTTAATTCATAGAGTGGATATTCTGCATGCAGATAGTCAAGGTTCAACTCTGCTGTCTTTGTTATCAAGTCTTCAGTTTATAGGTAATTTTTAATTTCTCAAGCATTCCATGTTTTCATTATTCTAATGTTATCTCTCCTTAGCAAGTATCACATTGGGGTCCAGAGCTGATTGAGCTCGAGTTCCAGGCAAAGCAGAATGCAGCCATTCTCTTCTTCGTCATTGACAACCAGACTCGGAGTGTGGCCTCCATGATCGAGGCAGCTTATCTTTCAGCGAGGCGCCGGAAATTAATTTTGGTGATCCATGCCTATCAGGGACCAGGACAGAAGATATGGGGAGAACCTATCACAGAAGAGTATGTAGCATTGTCTTTGTAGTAAAATATTGAATCCCTTGAACTATTCATTGTTCCATAGGAACCCAGCACCATGTCTGTTGCTTTGTGCACAAAGGTGAGACTGAGCTCAGAGAATCAGTAACTTTAATAGTCTGAAACTACGTGGGGCAATCCAAAAGTTTCCAAAATTTGAATTTTGCGTGCGAATGGTTATATGAGTACATCGAAATACCGCTAGGTGTCTCCTCACACATCCTTGTTGAATCAGTGTGGCAAGCGGTGCCAAGTTGAGTGGTTGGGTTTATTGTTGGTGAACGTATTTCCATTGTTGTGTTTCTGTGAGTTTGCGGTTTTGCGATGGCTGACCTGAGAGAGCAGCGTGTTTGTTTCAAACTTGGGAAAACCGCTGCAGAAATGCACCAAATGTTGAAGCAAGCTTTTGGTGATGAAGCAGGGGTACCCTTCAGAGGATCCTTCAGGGTGTGTATAGGTTCTCATGATCACAGGACAGGGCGAACAGGGGAGGACAAAGCAATCAGCAAGGCGGAAATACCCAAACAGAAATAACCAAATCAAATGCTAACAAAGAATACGTATATTAATAAAGAAAGAATACAAACATGATGTAAATACCTGTGTCAGAATGATTGCAGAGTTCGCTGTACTAAGATAGAATACCACGTAGAGAAATCAATTTGGACGGTCGAGGATGACCTCGACCGGTGGTCCGAAATGAGAACAACCTACCCCTTCAACGGTTGGGAAGCCAAGAGCCCTTAGCTCCACTCATTAGGCTGCTAAGCCGGCTCAGGAGGGGAAGGAGAGAGGGGGACAGTAGAGACAGAGGGAAGAAGTGTGCACAGACCACGGACATGAGCCGACATCACAGTGAAAACAGTTTAGGCCAGACATAAACTTACAACTGGTATAAGCGTTTTAAAAATGGCCG